TTCTGCAGCTTGTTGTTCTGCAGCCTTATGTTCTGCAGCTTGTTGTTCTGCAACTTATTGTTCTGCAGCTTGATGTTCTGCAGCCTGTTGTTCTGCAGACTGTTGTTCTGCAGCCTGATGTTCTGCAGCCTGATGTTCTGCAACCTTTTGTTCTGCAGCTTGTTGTTCTGCAGCCTGTTGTTCTGCAGCTTGTTGTTCTGCATCTTGTTGTTCTGCAACCTGTTGTTCTACAGCCTGTTGCTCTGCAGCCTGTTGTTCTGCAGCTTGAAGTTCTGCAACCTGTTCTTCTGCAGCCTGCTTTTCTACAGCCTGCTGTTCTGCAGCTTGTTGTTCTGCAGCTTCTTGTTCTGTAGCTTGTGTTCTGCAGCTTCTTATACCTTGTGTTAAATCTCCCTGCAGGAGAGCACCTCAGAGAGTCACTGATTCTGTCCAGGACATCAATGGAAAAGCTCGGGCCAAAAGCCAGAAATCCACTTTGGGGAACTCGAGCCTCCCCAGTGAGAAGCTGGATTTCATCTGCAGCTTATTTTAGGATTTTCTCAGCCGAGAAACGAGAAACAAAGAAACTTCAGCTTTTGTTGTAGCATCACTCAGGCTGGAAACAGCTAAAATAATTTACTTTTTAATAGATATTTTCTTCAGATTTGCTGCTTTGAGGAGACAATGTACTTAATGTATCTCATTTTTATTTAGTTTTATATCACTACTTTTATTTACGTTTTCATATTTCACACCAAGAGACAAACGGTGAAGAAGCTGTCCATAATCCAGAGGACACAGGAGACAAATGCTCCTCATGGAGGTGTCTCTGTCCACAAACATCAGGAGTTCTGGGTCTGATGATCTGCAGCTGAACCGGTTTTACCAATCACTGATCAATAAACATCGTTTAGGGTGGAGATCAATCGATCATCTGATTTCAGCTTCAGGCCAGAATGAAATCAAGTCCTGCAGAGGATCAGAGAAACACTCAAAACCTGCAGAGGCTGGAGCAACACAGCCTGACAGCAGAACCTTCAGCTGATCATTCGGCTGTTTCAGACCTGGTCCTGTTTGTTCTGATCTGACCGACTGCAAACAGACTCTGTGAGGATCCTTACAAACAAACAAACAACAACAACAACAACAACAGGGCCCTGTCCTGATCAAACCCTCAGGTTCTGTTGAAGAGCTGCAGCCGTGGGAAGAACTCCTGCTTTTCACGCCGGCTGCAGAACCGGGTCAGAATCTGCATTTCAATGAGCATCAGGTCCACAACCTGAATTTGTTCAAGTCTTTTTATAGATTTCCTCTGAATCTTTACGAGCTGCGTTCCCTGTTGGTGAAGGAAAATAAGATCAAATGCATTAAATTAAAGCTTTAATTACAGAGTTAACGAGCTCAGGTGTTTTAACGAGCTCATCTCTTTGGGTCCAAACGTCAAAATATAAAAACAAACTCAAGATTTCTTTACGTAAAAGGAGCGGAGTTGCTGTTTCAAATTATTATCCAGAACTTTAACAAAGCGCTTTTAAATCAGCTGATTTTTGTTTTCAGCAGCTAAATAGTAAAATTAAAGATGATTCTTTAAACGGCAGCGATCCGGTTCATGTTTCTGTGAACTTGAGCTGGAAACAACAACAATGAGCTGACAGACTCATGCTGCGTTTTGTTTCTGCTCTCGTTGACTTTTCAACCATGGCGTTCCACAAGGCTGAGTACAAGGACTGCTGCCACTTTTCAAACTTTGCTCAAATAAAATCAATCAGACTCACACTCAGAATGAGACCGAACATTCTCAAATTTAAATCTAAATAAAAAAATCTAACGTTCCTTAAAGGGGGCAGCACGGTGGCGCAATGGGTAGAGCTGCTGCCTCTCAGCGAGCAGGTCGCCCCGGCTCAAATCCCAGCCAGGGATCTTTCTGGGTGGAGTTTGCATGTTCTCTCCGTTCTGCGTGGGTTTTCTCTGGGTGCTCCGGTTTCCTCCCACAGACCAAAAACATGCATGTTAGACTGATTGGTAACTCTAAATTGTCCCTAGGTGAGAGAGTGAATGGTCGTTTTGTCTCGTTTGTCTCTATGTGTCCCTGTGATGGACTGGAGACCCGTCCACGTGTCTTCTGCCTCCAGCACAGTGATGGCTGAACATGGGCACCAGTGGCACCAGTGACCCCAGCGACCCGAAAAGGAAGAAGTGGGCTAAAGATAATGAATGGATGGATGGAGGGATGGATGGAGGTTCCTTAAAGGCCTGCATATCGCCCGCCACCTTTCATGCAGGAGTTTCAAAGTAAGACGTGATAAAAAATGAAAGTTGCAGCTTTTTTATAAAAAAAAAAAAAAAAACTTTATGCACAGTCTCATGCAATGTTGCAAAAGCTCAGAGTATGTGTTGCGTGTGACTCTCAGCTACTACCAAACCAAATTATAGCTCCAGATCTGGAAAACTGATGGGTTAACGTCAGTTTTGTATGCTAAGCTTAGTTAGCTGTGGCCACCATCTTGGCTTCAACAGTTCATCAGTTCTAGATGTTCATCTAATGAATGTTTCATTAAAATCTAACCTGTGGTTCCTGAGATATTTTGCTAACACACTAACGATAGGTTGAATGAACCTGTCATCCTGTCTGCAGCTGCAGCTGATCGGCCAGATGTTTGCTGAGGAGGTGAAACATTGTCTTCATGATCACGCTCTGTGAGATGACTTCAGCTGAGAGACTCACGTCGCGGTTCGACCCTGAACGCTGCCCCACCGGGCAGCAAACAGCTCCGGGATGGAACCGGAGTGAGGCTCTGCAGGGAGCTGCTAATCGAACCTTCAAAGATCCGCAGATGAAAGCACAACACCTCTCGTCAGCCCTCACTCTGCTCGGACAGATGCATGCTGGGAAGTCTGCAGGTGAAGGTTCATGAAGGGCTACAGGTGTTTGAGCTGCAGCTGCAGGAGCTTCCTCCGTTCACCGGAGCCCTCGTGCTCTGAGTGAGACGTTGTCTTTCCAACTGTCGCCACAGAAACTAAACCTTCTGGGATTTTCTGTAACAAACATTTTACTCCCAGAAGCCAAAGACGTCTACTTCCTGTTTGGTTTTATGCTGATAAAGAAAAACATCTGCTCTCAGAAACCAACAACCGCCCACTGAAGACTCACAATGTAGTAGAAGTTGGAAAAATGGGCCTTACAAGGTAACAAATACACACACACACACACACCTGAATCAGGTATTCAGCAAAACTGCCAAATGGTTCTGCTCTGAGCGACGAGACAGATCCTCTGAGTTGAATCTGAATCAGGACGAAATGCTTCACCACCCGGAGGAGAAATCTCACGAGGAGAGGTCCGTTTCTCCGCACAAACACTTCCTGTTTGATTAGATTTAAACACTTTAATAAGTTTTATTAGATTTAAACTCATTTTAAACAAATCATTCCTGTTAAAATCTCCATTAAAACAAACAAAGTCAGAGAAATAATGCTGAGAGAAGCATTTGTTGAACAGAAAACAAGCAGGGCAGAGGCTAAACACTGAAAGCAGGAGTACAGTAGCTAAAAGCTACATGCTAAAGCAACAAAACAGATGCTAAGATGAGAAGACAGTAGCTTCATTGGGCTGCTCCCGCCTGCGAGCGTCACCAAAGTGAGCAAAGTCATTCAGATTTTCTTATTGTTTTAAACTGGAGACACTTCCTGGGCTCGAACCTGCAGCTCGAGGATTATGAGACCACAGCACTAACCGCCAAGCTACCATGGCACCCAGCCAAACAGTAGCTAAAATGTGCTAAATATGCATGCTAAAATTAGAAACTCGGTAGAATAAATCAAAATTCAAAAGGCAACAAAGCTGATGCTTAAACAAGCTAAACAGGAGCTAAAATTACTGAATCAGATGCTACACTTAGCTAAACTACAGCTAAAATTAAATTAAATTAAACCCAAATGCTAAAACAACTAACTCTAAATTGAATAACAGTAGCTAAAAGCCAAATGCTAAAAGAAACAAATACTGAAGCTGAACTCCAAACTGTAGCTAAAAGCTAAAATTAGCTTAAGATAAAAACAGAGCAAGTAGCTAAAGCAGACGTGACTGAGAAGAAATGTTTTGGGAGGACTTGGAGCTCTTTGGGGAATTTTAATTTTAATTTAAAGGAGAAAGTTGTGTTTAAAAGCAGGAATGAGAAGATGATGATTCTTTGGAATATCGTGAGCTAAAGAGCTAAAGTTTATTTATCTTTGTGAAGTGATGCAGCCGTTATCCTCCGGCTTTAGGATCGCAGCATATTAAAAACAGAACAAGATGAATCACCTCGTTTTAGTTAGAGCTGCTGTTAAAAACTAGAAAAGAGACTTTAAAGGGGGTTGTTTCTGCTAAATAATGAAAATAAATTACTAAAATAAAAACCACGTAGACCAGAATAAAGGAGCCTGAATTGTTTTTATTTTCTAACTTGTGTGTCTCGTCTCTGAACGCTCAGAAGCTCCTCGGTCTGTCAGTTTTTCCAACGCCACCTGAACATTTCCACTGAGATGAGCTGTGGTGCGTTCACTGACCTGATGAAGAAGGCAGCTGCAGCAGACGGAGCTGGGCTGGTTTGGGTGGAGGTGCTTTGGGCCGCCCGGGTGACGGGCCTCCTTGTGGTCACGGGTCCACCGACTGAGGTCAGAACCTGAAAAATGATAAAACAGCTCAACGTCACTGCAGCAGGAAAACATGGCCGCCCCTGCAGGTCCATGAGCCCCGCTAGCTGCAGGAGCAGGATGTTTGGACGAGGAGTCGTTAATTAATCAGCTCTGGTTGTTAATCTGCTCGTTACTGGTGTAACTGGTCAGCTCTGGTTGTTAATCTGCTCGTTACTGGTGTAACTGGTACTCAGGAAGGACAAAAGGGTTGCGTAGGAGAAGGTGGGGCCAAGGCAGTTAGGATGTTGATGGATGAAGAATAAAGACACACGAAACATAAACTCACACAAATATTTTAATTAAAAAACATGGTGTCAGAAGTGGGATCTGAACCCACGCCTCCATTCAGAGACCAGAAGACGACAGAAGAAGAAGAAGAGATGGGAGATGACAGTTAGCAGCTAAACTTCAGCTGTTTGTTATGAGGCAGGAGGGCGTCCTGTTTGGTGTTCAGTAAATAAATCAGATTTTATGAAGCCATGAAGTAAATTTGATGTGAGTGCAGAGATCTTCTTCCTGTAGAAACCTCTGAAACCAGCAGAACTAACTGAACCCAGAACCTCAGAGTTCTGGAACCCTTCATCAGCTCCGAGCTCTCTCTGGGTCTGGGCCCACGTCTGTGTCCCGGTTCCGGTGGATTATTGAGCTAAAAGGAAGTGGCGAGCAGCCAGCTTCGGTCCGCTCGACCAGCTAACAGGATTACACAGAGAGCCGACGGCGGGCCAGAACCGGAACACAAACCAAACAGAACCAGCAGCAGGAAACCAGAACTCTCATTTGGACTCTTCTGATTCAGGCCGATCATTTTGGACCGGACGAGTTTTTATTTTACCTGAGTATTTGTAAACTGAAAAAAAATCATTGAATTAAACGCGTTATTCACAGATGGAGAGTACTTACAATTCTGTTAGCAAAATATCTAACGAACTGCGGAATGGATTTTAGAATGCAATCATTAGGTAAAGATCCAAAACTGAGCAGCCCAATTCAAGATGGCCGCCACAGCCAACTAAGCTTATAAAACACAAATATTGCTCTAATTCAGCAGATTTTACAGAAGCGGAGCTAAACCTTGGCGTGGTAGTAGCTGAGCATCGACCACAGCGTTTACTTCAAAGCACGATAAGATCGTCCAAAGCTAATTCACTTTTGGAGTCAGTCTAATTCAAGATGGCTGCCACAGACAGTAACCTTTAACCTACATAAAATGGTTATAGCCCGGTGACGTTTACACGTGCTGAGGCTAAATTTGGGCTGGTAGTAGCTGACGGTCGTTTCCAACAGACGATCAGAGCCTGTGAGGTGTGGTTGTTTCCTGCGAGGATGCAGTTTCATTCAGGATGATCCAAAACGGTCGGTCCTGAAAGGAGGCGGGTGATGTGCATCCCTTCACGGAGCACCAGGCCTTCGCTTGGGTCGGTGTCGCCACGGTTCGGCTCAGGCGACGGCCCCGTTGGCTGCTGGCAGAGTAATCAGCTCAGCACCACCTGCTCCACTTCCTGCTTCACCTTCGGCTCTCTGCGGGTTCCTTTTCTTCCCCGAGCTGAGAACCTGCAGCTCAGCCAGAGCGCCTGTTGAAAAGCAGCTGAAACACTCAGATAAGACGCCCGCGTGTCCAAAAGAAAATATTCCCAAGCTTCTGAGGAATGAGTGACAGGTGCTGCACGTGTGCACAGACGAGCCAAACTGGGCCGGACCTCCAGACTGTCTCTGAAGGAGAGAGGAAGTCCAGCTGTTCGAGGCGTTGGTTATCTGCAGGCCGACAGGCGACACCAGGAGGCTCGTTAAGTCTCACTCGTTAGCCTTCAGCTGATCTTAGAGGCTTTGGCTGTTTTCCACACGCTGAAGGAGGAGAACGATGCAGCTACTGGAGGTGAGTTTAGATCCTGATGTCAGCACACGGACTGAAGAACGAGCAGAAACATGACGGGCTGAGCCCAGAACAGAAAATGTTCTTCTGAAGACCAGGAGCCTCGAGGATCAACAGCACCAGGTTCACGCAGCGTTCAGGAAGTATGGAGATCCTGAAGTCTGCGTGGACGTGTGCGTCAGTCTTTGACCTGCTGTGAGAACGTGCTCACCTCCACTCATCTCCAGTCCAGAGTACAAAGAACTGAGTCACAGAAACACGACTCGGTTTGGTTTCCTGAACTTCAAACATTCAGACACGACGGATTCCCTGAAATAAGATATAATCGGCTGGAATTAGCCGAAGAAGCTAAAATTGATTTGTCAAAAACGAACAAAACGAAAGCTGAACAAATTGAACGCAAACTAAAATGAGTATAAGACTATAGCTAAAATAATCAAAAACAAGTTAAAGGCTAAACAAAAGCTAAAATGAGTGAAACACTAGCTAAAATAAACAAACACTAGATAAACTTTAAAAATAATTAAGAACAAAAAACGTTAAAAAAATAAATAAATAAAACAGCCTTAAGTGGAAAAAACACTAGCTAAAGCTAAAAGCTAGATTGAAGCTGAGCATAGTTGCATGGCTAAAGATTAGTTGAAAGCAGCAAAAGGCTAGCTAAATGCTAAAGTAGTTCAACACCAGGTAAAAGATAAATGTCTAAAACAGCTAAAAGTAGAAAAAAATCCAACTAGAAGAGGAACAAAGCAAAAGGTTAGCAAGAAGCTAAAAGTATCAAAAGGCTAATTAAAAGTATATACCAGCTAAAAGCTAAATGTGCCTAATAGCTAGCTAGCAGCATATATAACCCCCAAAATGGAGGCAGTAGCTGAAGCAGATGTTAAAAAGAACAATGTGAAGGAATTGAATACATATAAAAAGTATTTTGTGGGGATCATGTCGTAAATAAAGATACAAGTGTTGCAAAGTATAAAAAGCTAAAGTCGTAGCACCAATCAGCTGAATGAGCTGAACGTTTTGATAAATAAGCAGCTAAAAAAGCATCCACCCAGAGGGGCCCCCTGGACCGGGGTTTGAACCAGTGACCTGCTGGCAGAGAGGCAGCAGCTCTACCAGTTGCCACCGTGCCGCCCCAGACTCAGATCTTCTGGTTTAAAGGAACAGGAAGTGGCTGTTAGCGCCATCTTGTGGTCGTGTTCAGATGTTGCATCCACCTCAAACAGAAACATTTAATCTACATCAGAGATAAAACGGGCGACAAAAAGACAAAATAAACAACTTCATCGTCGTGCTGAAGAGTTTAAAGTTTTATAAATGTTTGAAAATCTTTTCCGTCTTTGATTATTTAAATTTGCATTGCCTCATGTTTTTGTTGTTCTTCTTATTTCTCAAATCTAAACAACAAGTCACACTTGTTTGTCCCTCCCTGCTTACCGTAGTCTGCTGAAGTTCAGGTCTGCAGCACGACACCCTCCACACCCCTTCCAGGTAATTATGTGCATTCAGGGGCGTGACCGTGGCCAGCCCTTTGGCTCCTCCCCCTCCCAGGTAAACGCTCTGTACTCCTCCCCATCCCCATGGAGCCCCGCCCCCTTGCTGATGTTGTTCATCATACACCCATCTCTCCTGCTTCGGCCGCAGGTCGTCGACCCCCCAGCTGCTCTCTGAGGCCTGGGGGCCGCAGGTGGGGGTGGTGGGGACACTGGGTGTGGCAGGGCGAGGCGCCATCTTCCTGCTGATGCCCAGAGCCCGACGCAGAGCGAGATGCCTCAGCTGCTGGAAAGCGGCGCCGCAGACGTCACAACGGGCATCGAAGGAAGGTCGGCGGCCATGGTGAGGCAACTGCAGGTGATGGAGCTTGTTGAAGAGGAAAGAGGTGTAGGCTGGGTCCTGGGGGGCAACAGAGGAAACAACTGTGTTTAAACATCAAACATCTCGATTTAAACATCAAACATCTCGATTT